ATAATGAAGATTACCCTTAGCTGAGCCTGAGCAGAATAAAGAAGGGATTGAGGTCGCCAATCCTGAAGATTGGGAACACAGGCATTTTTGTTACTGTTAGTTGAATAGCTAAATAACAAGCTATAGAACCTACAATTATTTTGTGTGTTGTTGCTTAAAATGTTTTTCATTTACAAAATCTGACAGTTTGTAATATATTTTCTTGATTTGCAATAATCATCATATATATACCACCTAAAAAGTCTTCATTTCTTTCAAGATAAGATATTTTCAATGCAAATATAAGCTCTCTAGCTTTCATTTCTGATCGATTACTCTGAATAACGTGCATAAACTCAATCAACTCAATCTGACACTAGTCCTCTTGAGGCATGTAGAGGGACAACAACCAGTAGCTCTAGCTAATGACCACCATGGGAAAAATCAAATACTTGGCAATGTGGATGCAGGAGGATGAGGGCATGCACCAAAAAAGGAGAAGATAAATATAATATCGCCAAAAGTACTTGAAAATTGTCTAGAAACTGCAGCGCGCTGATTTTGAAGGTAAACTCTCTTTTATGCATTAATCTTCTTTAAGCAAGTACAGGCACGAGGACTAATAGCTTAGCGAGTGAGTAGAAGTATATGGGGAAAACCAGGATTTCCGCAATGAAGATGCAGGTGGATAGATGAGATAGAGAGGATCTACAAAGAAAAGGCACTAAATATAGAATACCACCAACAACACAAAGTAACATAATAACAGCGGCAGGCAGGCTGATTATAATGTTGATTTCTCTTTTACGCTCTACTTCCTCTTAGTGGAATATATTGCCAGAACACATGCTCTGTTTTCATGGAGATAACCTATACACAATTGTTTCTTTTACAAATATCAGTGGCTTGAGCTTTAGCCTCACGATGAACACCATTCACTCTCTTCGCCACCAAATTTCCTTTCGTGGAAGTTTAAAAAGTAGATGAAACCAGTGGCTCACTTATGATTTATTGCTTGATGTAAATTCCCTTTTTGCTTACATTCTTGAGGAAAGCAAAGAAACAAAATAGCAGTTCCAGTTTATATTCATCATAGCACAAAGCAGAGATAGATTGTATGAGTGAATGACTGCATTTAAGAGGTATGGATTTAGAAAGTAACACATTCGATATAAATATGCCAGTCTAAGATGTGTAACTTTATACGATTTAATAAAGAGGGAATACAACATATCACAAGTTCACATTGATATTTCGGCCACGCCAATATATCACAATCAAACAATAGTGAGTATATTCATTAAAAATAAATATTTTTATCACTTTTAAAAGTTCCATTTGTTCTTGCATGAACTCAGAAATAAAATGTTGGTATTTAACCCAACAGATACAAAGCATCCTTCATAAGTTGCGCCCATTAAAGACAATACCCATTGAATCTGCCACCAAAGATGCACCTTTAAACTGAAATACATAGACTAGCACGCCTTGACAAACCCATCCTATTGTAAAGAATATAATATCACTTTGAACTATACTATCTGGTGCAACTGCCAAGCAGTATAGTATTTAAATGATTTCAAATAAGAAAAATACAAATATAACAAGCAATGAGGCTTGCTATTTGCAGTAATACATTTTACTTGTTTCTACAAGCCCTGGGACACATAAATACAAAATGCTGCTTTGTGCAAGTAGATCGCACATACTAGACCCCAGTTACCTCTCTCTCGTTCATTTGATGGGTGGATGGTGCTAGTACAAGTGTTAATATTGACATATCTCAACTTCCAACCAAACTTTGATCTGTGCATTCAAAGTCCCAAACGAGCATCACTTATTCTATTCTAATTTTCAAAACCTGATGAGTATAGAAATATGTCCACATGGATAAGTATAGTTATCATTTTGCAACATTGTGGAAAACAAAGGACGCATTTACAGTAAAAAAAATCAAATGACTGGCCCAAACTAATCATTAAAATAATAAGAGAGAATTGCTTCATCCCTATTGTACCAGTTTGCACTATATCCAGATTCTGATTTTTTTTAGTAGATGGTCTTTATAAAACCTAAGTTATGGCTTAGAAAAATAAAGTATCAAAACTCTTACGTAGTCCTTCGTCATATATAGTCTTTTAGCAAACCTATGTTATGGCTTATAAAAATGAAGTATTAAAACACCTGCTTCGTCCTTTGTCTATGATTCTTGTTCGGCAAGAATTCATCAAATTAGATTAAAAGAATAAGAAAGAAATCCAAAATCTTTTGTTGTTTAGGTGGCACAAGGATTTTAATGGGGGGATAAAAGATGTGCACTCCAGTGCAGTCGTTTGACTTAACAATTGGCCTATGTTGCCAAATATTTGGTAAAATGGATAAAAAGATTATTCATTTTCTATTACTAACTCTCTTTTTTTTTTAATCTTGATTGGACTTTTTTAAAATAGATTCCTTTTCGTTATCTAGTATATATTATTCAATTGGATTGATTGTGCCTCAAAATATACATCACTTAAATTATTAAATTGCCTTCTTCTTTCTAAGTGGAGTAGAAAAATGGATTTCCAGTCACAGACTGAAAATTCAACAAAATTTGAACCGTTAACTATTTAATACAAATCATTGAACAGTTCTCCAAATCATTATCCAATAAAAATTAGCTTCTTTGAATGATGAAAAATAATGAATTTGACTTATGACTAAATGACTAATCAATATTTAATTTTTTCAATAAACAATCCTTTGAAAATCATTTAACGAAAAAAGCATAAAGGGTGCAAGGGCAGTTTTTAAATAAAGTAAGATAATTAAAACAACAAAACAAAAAATAAAAAAAGGAAAATGACAAAATTTTCAAAGCATATATGCTAAATAAAGATGCTAAAACAAAAGAACAGATTATTAGAGCATGAAAAGTGATGAATTTTTTTCGGCATTAGAAAACAAAAGTTATAAATAATAAGAAAACAAGATTGTATGAGCAAGTTTTATGTTTATTAAATACAATAAATTTTCTAAAGACGCCTAAATAGGAAGGAGTCAAGGATTTACATCCTAAAAAGTGGAATTAACAATGAATATCAACAAGAAAAAAAACTATTTAAGAAATTTAGCAAAATGATAGAAGAAAATTTTACATGAAAGTAAGGAACAATGTTTTTAAGACTTGTGGAAACTTTTTTTGTTGGGTTAAATTACCAGATAGGTATTTTTATATAACCTCAATCACTGCTTTGGTATGTAAAATTGCTCTGGCATCATTTTGGTATTTTAATTTTGACACTTGTGCAATTGGATATGAAAGCTCGCTGCCAGCCACTTTTTCTAGAGGAACGAACATGTGCCACTCACGTGAATCAATTATAACCGTTATTAGAAGCTGATGTGGCATGGATTAAGTGAATTCGCAGAGCTTAAAGGAAAAAAATGTGGATCTTTTAACTAACCCTAGAATGGCTAGCGACGACTTTTAATACCCAATTGCGCAATTGTCAAAGTTAAAATACCAAATTGTCATCAGAGCAACCTTAAATACCAAAGTGGTAATTGGGGTCAAATAAAAATACCAAATTGGTAATTTATCCTTTTTCGTTGTGAGACTAATATCCTTTCCTCATCAACCTAATTGGTGATTCCACCTAAGAGCATAGATTAGTAACATAGATAATACAGCTTTACGAAACTGAAATTGGTTTTAATCAAGTTGAATTAGGCAAAATGTGCATGAAGGTCAGAACCTAGACTTTTAATCCTATAAGGCTGTTTAAGACGGGCCAAAGTAAGCCTTCAAGCTTTTATAGTTGTAAGATGCTTCCTACTCTAGCTTTCGGCTGAAGCGCACAGCCACTAGTATTTACAACTAAAACAAGGCATTTTACAACTATGTTTTAAAGAAATGAATTAGTATCGTCATCCTCATTTGCTTCAAAAGTGATGGGCAGTTGTATTTTCCAGCATGCGACAAAAGATAAGAACTACTCTTGAATTATTTTAAAAACATTCACAAGGAAAAAATCAATGTACATTAGAAACAAATAACTTTGTTGATATATTGTCTTCTGGCCCCAACCCCACAAAAAAAGGAAGAAAAATACCCACTCACAGATAAAGGGAGAGCTGTATTGACTGAGTTTTTTTCTCTACATCCAGTGGTATAACATTGGACTAAACCCCAACATAATTTAGTATGTAAAAGTTTATCACCATCATAAGCACAAAGTTCTTTTTTCTTTCTGCAGACAACGACTAAGATTTTGCATAAGTTGTTCACTCAGACACCCCACTAAAAGACAGCTATGTGCTCATCATCCATTCATAGATTTCTATCACAACCTCAATCCTTTTTAGCATCCAGTTTTATGCCCCTATAATTATTAAAAGGATTCATAATATGTATACTTTATCAAGCAAAAATTAACTCTAGCAAAATTTTGATAAAAGAGAGAAGTAAAACGGAGACTAGAACTAAGAATCTTATTATACCTGGTCATCATTCGTTCAAACAAAATCTATTCTTGTTAATCCTTAATTCACTTTCAACCAAATAGTTACAGTCAAGAATCATAATAAATATGATAAGAGCATAATAAACAGTAAAAACTCCCTATTTTCATCACAAAATATATATATATATTACAAGAAGAAAATAGTAGGGTAAATTTTCACAAATCCCTTCTGAGCTTTAGGGCTAACTTGCATGAAAATTTTCCAAACTTTAAAATAACAAATTTGGTGAATTCCATAAAATGCCTGAAATGTTCCATGTGAGCTTTGGAGCAAATTTTATTCAAGGGTTTGATGGGTAGAGAGGAAGGAGAGAAACATGAAAAATAAAATTTAAGGTTTCTCTCTACGGTTTAATTGAGAGAATAGGGTTAAAAGAATAGTGTGAAACACCCCAAAGTACAGGAGATTTTCTCTAACTTTCAATGTTCAAGGAGTACAAATCTCCTAAGTTCAGGGGGGGTTCTGAAATTTACCCAAAACAGTAAAACTTTGATCTTTATAGAAAATTTTACCACAAATTTTGACGGGGGCTTCGAGCTCCAAGAGATTAGGCTGGCCCATGAAAATATCCTTGGATGCTTGACACAGCTGCTTGATCTCCGCCTCCGTCATCTGCACGTGCCTCGCCGTTCGCCCGAGCTTCGCATCGAGAAGGCGCCTGATGATGCCGTCGAGCACTGCCTCGTCCATCGCCTTCCTCTTCCTTCTCAATCAAAATCAGAAAACCCTAGAAATTCAATCGAGAAGGGGGGAAGGAACAAGGGTTGAGGTTGCTGTCGCTTTCGCCGCTTATTTTCCCGCCTCAGTGTCTACTGAGGCTCCACACGTGCCCCAGTTAAGCCTGCTATTTGGCAAACGGACCTGAAAAGAGGGCCCGGGTTATTTTGTCTCGTCCACAATTAAATACATTGTAACTTTTTCTTTTAGGGCTTGTTTGGTTATTTCCCAAAAAACCGAAAAATGGAAATGAAAAGCAAGAAATCTCAAAAAGTACAATTTCACACATTTCCATCCCTAAAACTCACCCATAACATCTAATAAAATATTATTTTCATCCAACAACTCATTCATCACATCCACCACATCTAATAAAATATTATTTTCATCAACAACATCACTCAACTCATCTCATCTCATATTTAAAAATCACCCACATCATCCAATAAGATTGTAATAAGGTGACAACTCATCTCCATTTCTTTGATTTCTTCTTTTTTTTAGCAAACCAAACACTCCCAAAACAATTCTTTGATTTAATTAGCAAACCAAACACTCCCAAAACAATTCTTTGATTTAATAGTTTTCCATTTCTTTGATTTCCCCTTTGTTTGGGGCAAACAAACAGGCCCTTAGACCTGGAGATATTATTTGTAGAATTGTAGAATGTATAAATTTTGAAAAAATCGTGTCAATGCCCATCTCAAAAAGTTATGTGCCCCAGACTTTTGTACTTTTATTCATGTGTATAAACTCTAAATGCATAAAAAAATTCGTTTAAGCCCTTCCAACTGAGCAGAGTGAGAGAAAAAAGTTTAAAACCCTAGACAGCCCTAACTGGTTACCGCTATAGTACCCATGATTTTGGTAACCGCGCCCGTCCACTCTCTAACTCAAATCAAGTTTTCTCTCTCCTCTCCCTCCCGCACACACACACTCTCTCTCTCTCTAAGGTTAACACTGTCTGGCGAAATCCCCAAATCTCCACTCTAGGGTTTTGTCAAATTCGTCAGAAAATGGCCGAAATCTCGATGGCGAACCTAGATTCTCCAAAATCTAGAACAAAAGATGATGAATTCGAAATTGTTCACCGTCCTCCGCAGCCAGAGCAGGAACCAATATCGATGAACGTCAAGCGATAAGACTCACCTTCGACGACGGTTAAAGACCCCCCTCGACGTCATTGACCGGTAAAGATCCCCCCTCATCTTCGAAGAATGTTAAACATTTCCCCTTTGCCACCGATGAGTTTTAAAGATACCCCTAGCATCGAGGATCAACCATGGACCCTCTATCCCCCCCCCCCTCGGTCTTCGTCCACTCATGCTTCATCATCAGGGAATGGTAGCACTAATGGAACCACCCAGACCCTATTGGGCATCCAAAAGGGGTTACTAAGAAAAAGGAAAAAAATCCAAGTTCAAAAAAGGAATCAGAGACATCTAGGCAGAAATAAGTTTACGTAAATAAATTTAGATAGATTGATGTTACAGATTAATATTGGTGCATTGTGAACTATATGTCTGGATATGTGAAATTTAACATATTAATGTTACAAAATGAACGATTGGCTATTATATTTCGTTGTAACCTGCTATCATTTCGTATAAATTGATAACTCTGGAGTTTGGTTGATCATATTTGTATCTGATACCTGACTTTATAGATTATACATTAGGTTTTATTGATCGATTACAAGTCAAGTGAATGGTTGTTAAGGGGTATAGCATAATTGTTACATTTCATTGTTGGTTGTTACTATTGGCTGTTGGATGTTAACTTTAGATAGATTGATGTTAAGTGTTAAATTTTATTATAGGAAAAAGTCTAGTAATGCTGCAGAAATTAGGTTTACCGCTAGTTTTAGCGTATATTATGATTTTATGAATGTACTTGAATCGAGAATGAAGCGGTGGCACTGGGATATATACCAGGGGTGCACATTTGAGCATTACGTAATATTTGATCCCCCAGCAGTAGATCGACCCACGTTTGAATTTGTTTTGAGTCATCGTGTAGGAGGTGAAGTGATGTTTGCTCTGTCTGATGTCGACAGTGGAGAGAAAAGATAGTTAATTTTGATTTGGACCGGGTTCATGATCACACTGGTTTCCTAATTTACGAGGAAATAATTTACAACAATAGAGATCCTCACACTAGGATTTGGATGGAGTATCTTGCCGATCAATTTACTAGAAATGAAAAAGAAGCACCAAAGAATATGCGAAGATATGTGGCAGGACTACTATATTCTCTTGTTGAATTAAAAAAGAAGAAGGATATTAATGACTTTATGTTATTGCAGATTCTTTATTAATGTTCAATGATTTGGTGTCCCAGTAGTGTGCAAGGCATCCTTAGGCACTTGTTCAAATATATTAATTGCATCGAAAGAGTAAAGAATGCAGCGTGGGGGAAATTCCTTTATGATCAGACAAACAAAGGCATTAAGATTGCTAGGGAAGGTCTGAACAAAATAGGGGTTTCATATGTGCCTGAATGCATGCCACTGATCCTTATAAGTTATATTAACTTTTTTTATTGTTATGGTTAACCAACGCATGTGAGCATTTCTGTGTATTCTGTCAACTAAAGTTAATAGTAATTAAGGCTAACTGGATCATGTTAATGTAACTCTGCATGTTAAGCTTTGTAAGGTTAGTGTTAACTATATTTGATGAATATTGCATTTCTATTTATTTCTGTCAACTATATTTTCTTGTTTCATGTTAAGCAGATAATTAGTGCATGTTAACTGATTAATTTGAACAATTTATTTGTAGCTCTGGTACTATAAAATGATAGGGATTAAAAAATATGCCCTGAGTAATAGATTTAAGCCACTACTGACTAACTGAGTGATGATTGGAGAGAAGTCTGGATCTCTCCTAAAGGAGATGATTGGAGAGAAGAGATGATTGTTGCAAAAGCTGAAAAAACAAGCATTGTTATAGTTTAGAAACCTATAGCTGAATTTGGCTCATGGGTTGAAAAATATCCACTCAGAAGGCCAAATATGAGGGAAGATGATTCATTAAGGATTAGAAGAAAAGTGATTCCACCAATCCTAGTAAAGAAGCATCATATACAACCTTCTCCGAAAAAAGTTATTAAGGAGAAGAAAGCAGATAGGAGGAAAAAGCATGCATAAGAAAAGAAAGAAGAAATCATCAATAGATTTGGTAAGCTCTTAACCAATGTTTATTAAGTATAATAGATAACTATTAAATATGTCATACGAACTATAAACTTTGATGAAAATATTTTCATGTTATTTGCTTGCATGTTAATATTTACTGCGTATATGTGAACTATATCTAGTATTTGTTTTGATTTAAGTAACGTGTGTGAACTTTGGCATTTTACCTATTAACGTTTACAAAGCAACTGTTAACTTTTGTGTTTTTTAAAAATTACAGATTATACCAACATTATTGATGATGCTCTTTAAAAGAAAGATGAGATTAAGGAGTTACCATTTAAGAAGCAGCTCAAAATATGGAGAAATGCTGCTAAATTAAATCAGAGAATATGTCATGCACTGAGACATTGAAAGAAATTGCATTGTCAAATATTTATGAATGAGATCCATAAGCTTAATAAAAAAGTTAAAGGATTTTAGGTATTTGGTGACATAATAGATCTTGAAGTTTTAAAAGAAAATGTGAAGAAGTTTATTGTAAAGTAAAAGAAAGGAGAGCCAACCACGGATGAAGTTGACCAATATGATGATGATAGAGATTTCTTTGGTAATGAGTTTGTGCATGATTATGAAGATGGTAACCTTCTGGAACATTTCAGTGGAAACGAAGAAGGAAGAGAACAAGTAAATAAGAATGAAGAGGACGAGTAGTTGAATGAGAAAAGAGTTGATGTGGAGGAGGATACACAACTTGAGACTGCGGATGTACATATGTAACAGGAGGTAGCTGGGGATAAGGACATCCCACACTACAAATTCATGAAGAGAACGAAGAAGACGGTCATAAAAAAGTATATGGTTCATAGGAGTATAGCCCAAGCACAAGAGCTACCAAGAGATCATAATTGGTTAGGACGTCATTTACAGAACAAAAGAAATCCAAATCTAAAGAAGGGGAGCATAAAGATGAACCACTTGTGGTCACTAACCACGTAGATGAAATAAAAATTTATTATGATGACATCCTTGCCACTTGGAACATGTTAAAAAGCACGTATTTGTTAGATATTGATCGTGTTGCTTTAAAGAACGTGAATGAGGGGATTCCTGAGGTAGCATGGTTTAGTCTATGTGTGTTGGATAGCACAGAGGCTTTTGTATATAACTATAGAATACTAAGCAACATTACAACTCACAGCTGAGAAGAACAAATAGCTCGTGCATTTTTGCAAGCAGAAATGCAGTCAGTAAGTGCTGATCACTATTATTAATCCTTTTACTATAAGGTTAACCCTTGTTCAAACAAGTGAAAATTGGGCAAAAGCTAAGAACTTTGATCATTTAGCTGTTAACCTGGAATATGTTATAAGTTGTGAATGTTACCTGGAATATGTTATCTTTTAGCTTTTAGATGTTAATTCTACTTTATAAACTTTTAGTGTTCAGCAATTTCTGTTAACTCTAAGCAATTATTTGTTAGTACATTTCTAATAATGTTCCATAGTAGCTGTTAATTATGAGTATTTATCATCTAACTATATTTTAATGCTTTTTAGGAAATTAGATGTCATCGTTAATAGGCGCTTTAAGATAGATTACGGTCATGGTTATAGAAGCCTGAGAACTTTGTTATAAATGAGGAGTGTGGGCTTTTATCATCATTTTTATGCTTAATCTTGTTAATCAAACTCCTTAAATTTACATGTTATAGTTTATGGATAACACGTTATAGGTTATAGTTAACATGTTATAGGTTATAGTTAACCTGTTACATTTTATAGTTAATATGTTACATGTTATAATTAACATGTTTTAGGTTATAGTTATCATGTTACATACTATGGTTAACATGTTTTAAGTTATGATTAACATGTTACAGGTTATGGTTAACATGTTACGTGTTAAATTTAACTTACAGGTGAACATTAGTATATGAGCATGATAGATGACTGCTACTGTTTATT